TCCACCTGCTCGGTGATCTGGCCGTCCCCGCCGCGGCGGTCCTCCCTCTGCACGCCCAGGCGGTCCTCCTCGTCCACGCGGCTCACGTCCTCGTCCTCCTCGTCCTCCTCGTCCTCCCGCATCTCCTCCTCGCCCTGCACCTCCATCCTCACCTGGCCCTTGACGTCCACCACCCCCTCGCCCTCCTCCTGGGGGCCCAGCAGGTGGTACGTGGCCGTGGAGCCCTCGGGGCTGTGGCCCTCCTTCACGGGCGAGGACGACGTGGACTCGTTGCTGACGGGTGAGATGTCACTGCTGCTGTGGTGGTTCACGGTGGCCGGGCTGGAGGGTGACGGCGACTTGACTGGGATTTGCCAGGAGGGGACCTTCGGGGCCGATGGGGATGGCGGGAACTGCCTCCTGGCCAAGGAGCGGGGAGAGGACAGTGATGTGGCAGCATCCTGGGGCTCCCGCCCTCTCGATCCCGAGCACTCAGCGACGGTGCCACCGAGCAGGGGACAGGGCTGAGCTCTGCTGAGTATGCTCCATGCCACTCCCACCCCCTCCTCGCAGAAACAAAGCCTCCTGGCCATTAGAGGTTGGAGACGGAGGCCAACGGAAGCCAGAGGTGGCCTCGGCTGCCGCAGAGTGCACTGGGTGCCCCACTCAGGGGCCTCCTGGGCCCTCCCGGCCCTGAGCCAGGCCCGCCCTCCTTGGCAGCTGCTGAACAGCCGGCCTGGGGGCCCGCCATAACCAGGAGGCCACTTCCTCCTGGTCCTTACCCTGTCCCCACCTCCCCAGCCCCAAGAGAGGGAGCAGGTTGGGGTGGAGACCCAGAGCACTGGCACCCCAGAACACCTGGGCCTCGACTCTAACTTGCCTGGGGGACACCCCGAAACCAGAAGGGCAGCGCTGGCGACTTTCCTAGAAGATCTCTGGGCTCAGCACTTGGGGAAGAGTGTGCCCTTCCCCGTTCCCCGCCCGGGCCCTGGGCCAGCGGCCGCCAGGAGCAAAGCCAATTCGAGGAGGGGCCGGGGAGGTCAGGCCCTCTTGGCAAAGGCTCAGAACTCACGCTCCAGAACAGGCGCCTACCTCTGCCGGAGCCAAGAGGACGAAGGCCCGCTCCCCCCTGGCTGCCCGCCGCCCCCCAGCACTGGGCCAGGCTGGGACACTAAGGAGAAACTTGACTGGCAGTTCCCTTGGCCCCGACGTCACCCAGCACCTGTCCTTGTTCCCCGGGCCTGGAAGGCTCGTATCCTGGGTTCAGAGGCACAGTGGATTCTCCCAGCGACAATCACGCCTCCCTCGGGCCACGTCCTTTTCTTCAGAGGGGGAAGTGTGTGGCTGAGAGCGCAGGGTGCTCTGGTCGGGTGGAGGGGCGCCCTGTGCCTCCACATGGCCTTACACGGCCCCACCTGAACCCCGGGCCCACAGAGCCTGAGCAAGGCGGACCCGGGGCACCTTGCAGACACTACCCGTCCTGGGGTCCGGGAACTGCGCAGTTCCTGAGACAACTTTTAAAGCCAGACAGACAGTCCGGGCAAGCCATTCGGAGCTGCGCCGGTGACATCCCCTCCCCCGTGAGGGCTCACGGAAGGGGCGGCCACTGCAGAGGGACAGCAGAGGGAGATCGAAGCCAGGGGCAGGGAGGGGACGCTGCTTCTGCCCCTGCTTTGACTGGGTGGATCCTTCAAACTGAGGCCCCCCGGCTCTCTGTGGGGACCTTCCCTGGGACCGAGCTGTCATTGGAGGTCCCACTGGGCTCCACACAGAAGAAGTGGCCATGTCTGGGGGGACAGGGACGTTCTCCTTTGTTCAAGGCCTGGCTTTCTGGCTCCAGTTGCCCTTGCCCAGTTCTTGACAGGACTGAGAAACTGTTTGTATTTCGAAACTCTTGTGGGCACTGCAGACTGTCCCCCTGGGGGACACTGGGGACAGCAAGTAGAAGCTCAAAAGGTCCCCAAGCTCAATGCCTGAATCATGGAGCTCAGTCAGGGACCAGCCGACCGGGCCCCTCCTGCGACAGCAAGCCCGGCCCGGGAGCCACCCCTCCCCCAGCCCCCCAGGCCCAGGCGGGAGCAGAGCAGGAGCCCCACTTCTGGCCTCCTACCGATTTAAAAGAAGCCCTTTCAAAGAGTTAATTTCCGACTTGAGTTCGTTGATATTCTGGGACTCCAGGAGCCAGTTGGTGGATGTGGTGGCCTGGAAGTCAAAACACAGGGGAACAGGAATCAGAGTGGCACCTGTCCCACCTGAGCTCAGGCCACTGGGGGGGTAGGACGGGCTGTGGCTTCGGGAAAACGGCGGGCGCACCTGGGAGCACCGGGCCCTGTGCCCCAGCCTGGCGACCCCTTGGGGAGGTTCTGCCACTGCCTGTCAGGGATCTGCCTGGCTGGGCCTCTCTGTTTAAATGATGACACCCTTAAAACGAATGTCCCCAGAACTCTGGCTGTTTGGCTGACAACAACAAGCAACTGTGACGTGCACTGGGTGCAACAATGGCACTTCGGCCACTGAACCAAACGACAGGACACAGAAGAGCCTATGTGCAGAAACGGAAACTCGAGCGTTTGCAGCAGGTAAGGGGGAGTCAGGGATGTGCCTCAGAACAGCCAGGGGGCAGGGGGCGGGGGGCACCAGGGCTGAGGCCGCAGCTGCAGCTGGCGGGGGCCCCTCCGTTTCTGTGTGTTCAGAATGTTCCATTAAAACGAGGAAGATAAATGAAGTCCATCTCTACACCAACTACACCCATCACCTAAGTCCCTCTCCCTACAGAGACGGTCACCCCACACGCACGGGCAGCCACCCCCCTCCCCGGCTGTAGACACCAGACTGGTACTCGGGAGCCGCTGGAGGGCCAGAGAGACGACCTCGGAGAGCTCGTCTCCGGCTCTGCAGCCTGGCAAGCCCCGGACTGCACCCCAGGCTGCAAAGCCACGACCTGCACACATGCCAGCCAGCCACCCGCAGCCGCTCCTGTGGGATGACAGCGAAGGCTCGGCATACTAGAAGGAGCTGTCCGAGGACTTCGCCTTAGTTTCCGTCCCCGGGGAGGGCTCTGACCTCTGACAAAGGCCTTCCTTCCACACATACCTTTCCCCTTTGAATGCGACAGTTCTCCACACAAACTTCACAAAACCACACCTTTCTTTGGCAAAGCTGGTTGGGACAGGTGGAGGAGAGGGGAGCTACCACAGTGGTCCCCAAATCACAGCTGCCAGTTGCCAAGCTGCCTATGAAGTATTTATGGGCCAGTTCCAGGTGTGATGGCCTCAGGTGTGCGGGCCTGCAGGATCCAGGCTGGAGGCCACCTCGGGGCGGCTCGAAGTACACAAATGAATCGTGCAAAGCACCCGCTCCCCTGACACAGCAAACCCGTGCCGGAAGTGCAGGAGAACGCGGGGTGTCCCAGGCTGGCAGAAGGGAAGGGCCCCAAACGTCCTCACTGGCCTGCTTGGGGTCTCCGATGTGGGGAGGGGCTGCTGCAAGCCCCGCCCGGCACACCTCTGCAGGGAGAAGCCCCTCAGAGGGGCCGCAGGGCTTGGGAAGGAAAAGCTGGGCAGTGTCGGACGGCATGTGCGAACACCCACCGCACGCACGCACCGGCCCCGGGCACCCCGCCCCAGACCCCCAGATAGTGCAGGCCCAGGAGCCACTGTTCTGGCTTCTCTGAAACCTCGAAAGCTACTGTGGCCCATTAACAAGGGAGCAGTTTCCACTCACCGGCCTGCAAAGGACTCAAATTTCCAAACGCATATGGTGCCAGATGCCAGGATTTAGAAATAAAATCTGACATCTGGGGCTTTTTAGCCAGTCTCTTTAAAAAACAGTTGTAGAAAACTCCCAGCCTTCAGTTTTATGTAGGTTTTTTAATTACTTAACGCTCTTCTTTTTAATTTTTTACAGTGCTGCAGCAGGAGTTTGGAAGCCAGATATAAAAACTTACGTTACAGCTGAGAAAACACAGCGCCGAGTCCTCGGTTTACGGGGTGGCCAGCCTGCGCACATGGGTTTAGATACCAAACCAGGGAGCCCGCATCAGTGTCCAGGAGATGAATGAAGGGGCCGGGGGCCGGGGGCCGGGGGGCGCCATCAGAAAAGCAAGCGCGAGGAGCTCAGGCAGCTCCCGACCACCAGGCACAACTCTGGGCTCCCTCCCCTCTTAAAACAAAACATGTGGTCTCAATCTTAATGGTTAAAGTCTGAAAACAGTTTTCCAATTTCCGGAATGGCTTCTGGCCACTGGCAGGCCACCACTCCAAAAGATAATAGAGGATCGCGGGGCGGGGGCTGCAACCAGCCTCCTGGTTCTTTACGAGCCGCCTGCCTCCGGGCAGCACACACGGTGGCTGGAGCTGGCCACCCGGCAACCAGGCCACCTGAGGGGGAAATGCAGGCAGCACGTGTACGTGTACGTGTGTGCGTGCGTGTGGCGCGGGTGGGGGGCGGGGCCGGGTCTGAGGAGGGAATTCTTGGGGACTCTCTTCACAGGAGGCAACCCAGATTCCACCTGAAGTGGAAAAATTCCTATTTTGCTGGGTTTTTGCAAATGCGCAGGATCTGAGCGCTGGCTGGCACCGACTTGTACTCCGGGATGGGGCCTCCCCTGGGAGACACACACGGAGGGGGCTCCTTCACAGCACCGGGTGGCAGAAGCAGCCAGAGAGCGATATGGGAGAAGGGGACAGCACAGGGAGGGCAGTGGATGTCCTGGAGCCACTGGGCACTGTCTCCTGGGCCCAGCCTGACTAAGGCAATGCCTGGGGAATAACCTTGTCGCACACCCCCAGAAACCAGGCCACACGCCTGCAGTCCTGGGAGCTGACTGAAGCCAGGCACTGTCCTAAGCATGTGAAGACAATGAATGAGGCCCCATCACAGCTCCATCTGCAGGTGAGGAAACTGAGGCTCAGGGAGGTTAGGGAACCCGCCCATGGCCGCACGGCTAGCACGTGGACGAAGGGGACGGCACCCGGGCGCTCTGACGCCAGGGTCTGATGTTACTAAGGCCACTTCGGGTTTAGGAAGTGAGGCACGGAGACTGCCCCGGCTGACTCGAGTTGGCGCTGTTCCCGTTAGGTGACCTGACCCTGAGACCTGAGTCGAAAGAACCTGCGCATTTCCGCCGCGTCTGGCCCAGTGCCCTGATACCCCTGCGCCTCCCAACCCCCAGTTCCCTGGAATCACTCTTGGCAACTGTGACCAGTGACCTAAACTGCAGTGAAAACCATTCTGTGTCCCCACCAACCGCCTCCAGAGCTGGCGCGTATGCTGCCACGGGAGGTGACGGGGAGACAGAGAGGCCCTGGCCTCCGTCACTGAATGTTCCTTCTCTGCGCAAGGGCAGTGTGGGCCCCTGTCATGTAATCAGCGTGACAAAAGACCCTACGGGACACAGCGAACTAGGGGCAAAGGACGAGACCGTGCAAGGCACACCTGGAGGGACCTGAGGGTCGGGGACGAGTACCTTGGCTGTGACCAGTTCGTGGGTGAGCTCCTGGACCTTCTGCTGCTGCTGAATCAGCAGCTCCTGGACAGAGGCTAAAGTCATCTGTAACTGAGCCACTGGGAGAGAAGAGCAGGGGCAACTGTTAAATGACACACACGGACCCTCTCTCCCTCGGACCGCCCACCTCACGCTGCAGCATCTAACTCGGACACCCACACATTTACCTGCATCGTGGGAATCTGCCTGCATTGCATCCAACCTCTAATACTTGTTTTATCTTTCTACTGTGTAGCTGTCCAAGGTCAACACTACATCCGTCCAAAACCTCCCCCCCAACTGCATCTGCTGACTTCCTGCTGGGCTCTTCCGCCGCCTGCGGTGTCTGACCACTGGCAGGCCACCCACCATCTCACGGGCCTCCTCGCCATGTCCCTGCGGAACTCAGGGGAAGTCTCCAGCCCGGGGAGAGACCCGTCTCAGGCCTCCACACGACGCAGGGTCGTGAAAAATCGCACACCCCACCCCGTTTCCCTGATGCTCCTTCCTCCCACCCAACCAGGCTGCAGAGCTCCCGATGTCACAGCGCCACGTGACCTCGTCTGGGCCTTGGGGCCACCACCACTGGAGGGTTTCTGAGGGCTGCCTGGGACAGCGGCTCTCTCGCTTGCCCGAGTTTTTAGTTTCAGAGCCTCCACCTAGTAAACAAGTTTATAAGGAAGAGCCATCTCTGGCGCGACAGGTCCCAGCTAATTCGGGCCATCACTGGGGTGCCGGGTAATGAACGCCAGCCCCGTGGAGTCGATGGCAGAGGGCGTGGCCGGGGCCCCGAGAGCCGCAGTAATTACAGCCTCTCTTGACCCTGTGTTGGATTCTTGGAGGGAAGGGGGAAAATCGCTGAAAACCCCCCTGAAAACCTTATAGAAGCAGAAATTAAAAATGAACTTTACAGCCCTTAGAAAGGCTGTCATTTTATTCCCCTTATTAATATTCTGAGGTTGGGAGCCTTTCCGTAAAAACATAATTAATTGAGGCCGCGCCGACAGTAAACAAGCAATTTCAAATTAAACCGAAATGACGGCGGCTTCATTTGCAAATGTGAACAGATTCTCAGAGCAGATAAATGAAGTCACCACATAAAGTGGAGACGGAGGGGAGAGGGGAGGGGGCAGAGAAGGGGCTGCTGGGGAAGGCTCTGAGGGGCGACTTGACGGACCCATTAATTTTCACCTGTCTGCGCCACGCTGCCGCTCAGCTCCGAGAGACTCGCCTCCATCCTCTGCAGTTGCTTCCTGTCCTCTCGGCCGCCCATGATGAGGGGGAGCAGGTATTTCTACAAGAAGCAGGGTGGGCAGGAGCAATGGGTGCGTATTCGAGTTACCCTCCAACAGTCTGTCATTCCACAGACCGACTCTCTCTCTGTCATCCCCAGGCCAACACCGAAAATGAACAAGATGTTCAAAAGTTATGAGACTGATCACAGCCACGTAAAAATGCTGAGGAAGGATGAGGACCCGGAATGGGGGCGATTCGATTTATTCTTATGGAAAACTTCTGGGTTCTTTTAGTTTTCTTAACGGTGCTATAATGTAAATTATTTCTGTAACGGAAACATTTTAAATTCTGCTTTAAAAGTTGTGAGATAAGACTGTAAAAGGTCACACAAGAAAGTGAGATCGCGGTGGCCTCCGGGGGGACAGGGAGAGTGTTTATGCCACACTCTTCTGAACCCTTAACGTTTGGAGCCATGTGAATGAATTACCCATTCGCAAACAAATGAGTAAAATTAAATAAAAAATTACTTGAGAGACTAGATGAGAATCCGCAACAGATTTCTGGGCTCCCCGGTCCTTTTTACTGGGGGATAATGCATGGACATTCCGAGGCCGTCGGGAGGGGTCCCCTCAGGCTTTCTAAACGAAGCCTTGACCCCCTCCCCACAGGCTTCCTCTAGCTAGGAGTCAAATGCAGCAAACTCCCCCAGATCCGAGAGCCAGGGCCGGAAGCGAGCGGAGAGGGCAGGACCTGAAGAAACTGACCATGGGGGTGGGGGGAGGGCCACCAAGCAGGGGGCCCCCAAATGCAGGGAACCCGGACTAGGGAGGGTGAGGTTTCAGAACACTCAGGAAGAAGGCGGGTGGGGTGTAGCTGGCGGCTGGCTTTGAGGGGTGAAGGGGCGGCAGGTGGGAGGCGGGGTGGCCGTGGGGGGCTGGGTGAACGTGCGTGTGCTCCTGATGCCCCACCCCCCCGCTTCAGAGCGTGAGACCGGCCGCCGACGCGAACAGGGTGGCCCCAGGGGTGGCACAGTGCAGGCTGGCAGGGGAGGAAGCGGCCAGAGTGACGAAGGAGAACTTCGGTTCTCAATCCGTCGGGGCCCCAGACAGGAAAACAGAGCCGCTTCCCCATGAAGGTTTCCGTGCTGGGGAAGGCAAAGGACGACTCTCACAAGGGGCTTGTGGGAGACCGCGCTTCGAGAGCACCCGCTAAGTGGGGGGCGTTATTCAGCGCACACACAGAAGCATCTTCTATTCTGCAAAGTGCTTTTCAACCACCGTGTGAGTCACTACCTATAACTGAGCTGAAACTCATCAGATGTAGCCTTGTGCCCTGGGCTGAAAATTTTCTAAGCATAAAAGTCAAGAAATTCTTATATGTGTAATGAACTAAAAATTCCATTTCCGAGATCAAAAATGCCAAGAGAAGGAACACATACACTGCCCCAGCCTAAGTCTCTAAGTATTTATAAAACACGATGACAGCTTACCTGCTCCCCGGACCTTTCTTTTTTTAATTTGAAGAAACTATTAGCAAATGTTTCAGAAATTCTCTCGTCACCATCGGGACTGATTTCTTAATGTATCTCTTTTAAAACGGAGAGGGTAGATCAGAGCTTCGTGGAAACAGCCAGTGGTCTCCCCACTTGGCCACCCACATCGAGGGGAGCTCTGCTGTCCGTGGCCATCAGATCGCAGCCGCCCGAGGGGGCGGCGTGAGCTGGCTGGGCGCCGGCTGCCCCGTGCAGGCCGCACTCTGAGTTAGGCGTATGAATTCTACTCGTCTCGGTGACTGTACACGGTCAGCGATCGGAAAGAGGCTTAACTCACACCAGCTAAGGGGAGGCAGCGGGTCAGAGAGGGAAGTCCCAGGACACAGAGCATTACGCTCTGGATTCCTGACTTGGAGATGCCCCACTCCAGGAATAGATGCAACACTGAAGGAAAACTGTATTCTGCTCCAACTCTGCCATTCACCTTTTAACTAAGTCAAAATTAAGAATCTCAGAGTGCAATGTTCAAACTTGTTTCACGTGCTAAAAGTTACGACAGTGAGTCCGGGTGAGTCCAAGTATTCATCCAGATTCTTAAAAAAAAAAGAAAAAAATCCCCCAGTACGGGGTGGAGTGGCAGATGGCCTCAGGGAGAAAGGGGCTTTTCTCCAGGACCAGCACCGGTAAGTCCTCTGACCACTGCTTTACCTTTTGTCTCTGGGGACCCACCCTGGCTCTGCATCTTCTAGAAAAGACTCATTTGCTTCAAATCAAAGTTCGTATCTGGTAGTTAGTATCTGGGATCAGGAGGTAAATGTTCACGCATGCACTTCTGTTGTGGGCAATGACCCCCAGGATCCTGAGTGTTGGCTATGAAGTCTGGGGAAAATCTTAGATTTACATGGATGCCAACACAATACACAGGAAACAAAAAAATAGGCCTCGTAAATACGACTGTGCTGGGATTCTCGAAGCTGGTTTTAGATACTAAGGTGGGACAAAAGCACAGAGCACTTCCTACGTGCCATGTGCCCCGCGCTCCCCCAAAGACGCACCTGTGAGCTGCTCAACAGCCTCGTGAGGTAGGTTCTACTGTCCTCAATTTACAGATGAGACCACTGAGCCTGCAGTCACACATCTGCTAAGTGGCAGAGCCGGGATGCGACACAGGCAGCTAGGCTCCACTGTCCATGCTTATCCGCCACATGTCATTCAGTCTCCCAAAAACCCAGTGCGCTCACTACGTGCCTGACACGGCTCACCGATCGAAGGCCCCGCAGCCGCCCTGCAGGGCAGGGACTTTGAGGGGAGATGCCGAGCCCAGTGGATGAGGCGGGGGCTGAACCTGCTGAGCGCACCCATCCGGGTGGGGGCCGGGCCTGGACTTGAACCCCCCCCGGGAGTGTGCTCCTCACTGCAGCCTGCCTCCACATGCAGCCTCACTCTGCCGCCGCACCCTGGGGCGGAGGGCCACCATGCAGACAGAGCTCAGGACAGCAGGCCGCAGGGCTGAAGGCCAGGCGGGTGCGTGGGGAAGGGCGGGCTTACCTTGTAGAGCTGGTGAAATCCGAATGCGATTCCTGCCATGATGACGGCCAAGGCACTGTAATCTCTCCATCGGGAACCCACGGGGCCTGAGGTTAGGAGAGAAGGCGCGTTGGGAGGAGAGGCACACGTGTCCTTCCCCAGGGCAGGGACGCACGCTCAGTGTCCCCGTCTCACAGGACTGGCGACTGCAATGCCCAACTGCAGGAGACTGTGACTGTCAGGACACTGGGCCCGGGTTCTCGGAACCATCTGCCTCCAAAACCCTGCTGTGTGGCGTCCGGAGTGAGCTAAGTCCCCGCGTGACGAGTCGGGCAGCAGAGGCGATCTGAAGACCGACGGCGTGGTGTCCACTTGCAAGGACCAGGGATCCCGTGAGGGGGACGTGAACGCACTCAGGCGCACACGAAAGCACATCTACGTGTCCCGCCACGGACGGGAAGAAGCTAAGAGCCACCTCAGAAGCAGGGTGGGTGGAGGGGGGACTCTGCATCACCTGTTTATTCAACGCTTTAGGAAGCGCCGACTGTGTACCTGACTACGCTGCAGGCATAGGAAGGGGGCACGGAGTGACGAGGTCCGCCTGCTCTGCTCTCCTGGTGAGCTGGTGGAGAGGCGACAACCTACGGTGACTAAATGAGGTAACTCCAGAGTGATCAAGAAGGCCCAACAGGGCGATGGGAGAGTGGGGGTGGCAGGGGAGGGGGCTGGGGGTCTCCGACAGGGCCTCAGAGGAGGTGCAAGCTGAGGCCCCAGGGACAGCGCCACCCCCCACCCCCCACCAGGCAGGGACAAGCAAGTGCAAAGGCAGCGGCTGACCGGGCTCTGAGGACAGAAAGCGGCCAGTGCAGACGGGGGGAGCCCCTGGGCCTGACCAAGCGGAGGCGACAGCTGGCCAAAGGAGCCGCAAGGACAGAGAGGGGCCGAGCAAGCGCGGGGAGCCGTGGAGGGTACTGAGTGGGAAATGGGAGGAAAAGGCAAGGCCAGGAGACCGTGCCCAGGGAACCCCAACGTTGTTTCACACAGGCATGGGGTCACCGAAGGCCTGAAGAGGGGAGTGGCGGGCCAGCTCCCCCTGGGAGAGCAGCAGCAGCAGCCCCGAGGGCAAGTCACAGGAGGGAAGAAAGCGGGAGCGACCGGGGCCAGGCGGGCCCCCTCACAGCAGGACTACAGGCTGCTGTCTGGGCGACCCCCGGAAATGGGCGGCCAGCCTTCACGAAGGAGCCGGCTCCTGGCCCAGCGCCCTTCGGAGCAGCCTGTGTCGAAGCTCCCCCCACCTCGGGAACGAAAGGAGCCCCGCAGGAGCAGAGGAGAGCCCCGTGTCCCTAATCTCATCCAACACCCCAGCGACCCTTAGAGGCGCACGGGAAAGCACTGTCTCCAGTCCCAGTGTCCACCTGGAGCTGCCATGTCCAGCCCACCCAGCGTGGAGCCTGCCTCCTCTCAAGGGGTCTGCCAGGGGCGGGGGGATGGGCCACTGTTTCCAGAACCATCAGCAGTGTGGGACACCCAGCCGTCGGCGGAATCAGGCCACAGTGCCGACGGAGTTACCCAGAGGCGCCCACCTGAGGCACGCTGCCGTGACAAGGGCCTGGGGTCTGGGAGTGAACTGGGAACAGGAAAGGCGGTGAAGAAGGGGGTGCAGCAGCACCTCTGCGGCTCCTGAAAGGGGTGCCAGCCCACTGAGCACCGCCGAGGCAGGACTTTGCCTGGGACAGACACCCTGCGCTTCAGTGGTCACTTCTCCCACGGCCTGAAGGCCTCCTGGACCAAAGAACAGTGAGGGCCGGCTCTTAAAGCTCAGGGGCAGGATGAGGGCGCCCAGGGAGGGGAGGGGGCTGCGGGCATGCAGCCTGACGGGGATCAGAGTGGCAAAGACCCCGAGGGGGCAAGGGCGATGCTCCCTCCCCCGAGCTGCGACGGGGCCCTCGGGGAGCAGGGGAGACACTGAGGGAAGAGGGAAGAGTCTCTTCTGGCGGCCACCTCCCCTCCCCTCCCCACCGGCCCCACACGTGGACGCCACAGGAGATTCCCGGAGTCTCCGGCACGAACTAATCGACAGGCGGCCTCTCCCACAGCCCTCAGCCCCGTGTTGGTTTTACAGGTTTTGAACAGCCAACACTCGCATGCGGTGTGAACGTCACGCAGATAATGCCAGTCTGCTACACACACAGGCGCCCTGGGCCACCAGCAGCCACTGCTGATCGTTTCCCGTCTGTCTGGCCGGAGACTATGGATATATACTATTTTCCCTCTCTTTCTCCCTATTTCTCATTCTTCTTTTTTCTACGGCTGCTTACTATTCCATTTAACCAGTTCCCTACTGATGGATGTGCAGATGGTTCCAGTCTTTTACCATTTCACACAATGCTGCCTGCCACCAGTGACCGTGCACACAGGTCACCTCACATGTGATGTACGAGTACCTCTGTAATCGTGGATTCCTATGAGGCTGGGTCAGGGGGGCAGCATTTGCAGTTTTGACGGATACGGCCAAGCCGTGTTCCGCAGGGTCCACACCACCAGCCATGCACATTCATAACGGGGTAATCACAGCCGTAGACCTCCTCCGATACCAGAGTGGAGAAAGGCACTTCGCTCCAGTTTTGAGTTGCATTTATCTTATTATGAGTGAGAACTGATTTCTTCAGTGTACTGCGTGTGTTCCTTACTTTTCTACTCCATCTATCGACTTCCTTATCAATTTACAGAAACTTTTCTTACAGCAGAGAAGTCAGCCCTCTGCCTATGACAGGAGCTGCAAAGCTCTTTCCCGGTTTTCTCTTCTTTTGACTCTGCTCGTGGTGTTTGTGGCATGCAGGTGTTTTTCATATTTACATACATTTATCACTCTCGTCTTTTATGGGCTCTGGGATTTGGGCCGCAGCAAGCCAGGACTTCCCTACCCCCTTCCAGTCATGTGGTGACAGGAGTGTCACGTCTAAGAAACCGGCTCGGGAAGGTGCTCGGCTGCTCCGACCTGTGGGAACACCCGGTCCAACAGGCACCTGAGCAGACAGGCAATCGCCGCTCGCTAACTCCGTCCAGAAGCGCGGGGGGCCCGGGCGTGCTCACTTCTGTCTCGTCCCTGGCCGCCTCTGCTCGGAGGGCCTTGACGCGAAACCCAGCACCCAGCGCAAGTTCATTTTTAGGAGGAAAAAGTGAAGCTACGGCAACACTTCCACTGGTCAAGGGCGCTGCTGCTCGTGAGGGCCGCGACCCACACGCATCGCGCCCGCCCGCAGGGCCGGACCCGCAGAGAGAGACTTCCAGAACGGGTGCGCGTCCGGAATGTCACACTCGCCACTAATTCCTCAAATTCCCACTGAACATCTGACAAGAAAACGGGGTGCAACGAAAACCGGACCAGAACCCAAAGCACGCCCATCCTTCCTTCCTGCGCACCGCGAGCCTTGGGAAGCGTGGCCTCTCGCTCTGGCACCAGAGCCGCTGGGGCTGAACAGAGGCCGAGGTCCGGGCCGCGCCTCTCCAGACCTCTGCCCGCCTCCAGCGCAGGAAACACCTGTGGCTCCCTGCCAGCCACACCCCTCGCCCCGCACTGCTCCCCGTTCCTGCCATGCTCGCGTCAGGAACGTTTTATTGTCCCCTGGTTTTCATTATTAATGAAAAGGAACCAGAATGATCTTTCCTAAAGTTCAGAGAGTCTATAAAGACAAGAAGCTGAAATGCCATTTTACTCGTTTTGGAGATGTGTGATACAATTCTGTCTTGTGGCGAAATGGAGAGAGAGAAACACCACGATGGAGACAACCGCTGCCCACGGAACGCCTTTCAAAAGGTAAAGCACTCGGGGTGATCCCAAACGGGCTCACACCCTCCCTGGGGCCGCCTGGAGTCCCCCCACCCCCGGCCTCCCTGGGGCCACCTGGAGTCCTTCCCGGCCCACCCTGGGGCTGCCTTGCTCAAGCCCAGGGCAGACCCTCCGGAACTGAGAGCCCAGCACCCGGAAGCTACCACCTCGCTCGTCACCATGATCCCTGAATGTCCAGAATCCTACAGTCAAGGGCAGAAAGCGGGGCCACGCTTTCCAGCTCTAGCTGCAAAGAGAAATGACGCGCTTTTCAAAGCTTCCAAGGCACCCTGCCCTGCCCCCTGCCCCCAGCCTGGAAGCAGGTGCCTGCAGAAAAGGCACACAGGGGGCAAGAAGCCCGAGAGCAGAGACCCTGGTCCCCTGCCACCAACCAGATGGTGCCCGAAGACATTTTTCTCTTCTTATGAAGCACGAACCACTTGACTAAAGGTGGCAGAGCTCCGCTATACTTAAGGAGCCCAGGAACGATGATATTTTTACTGTCACTCAGCTTCAAATTACCCACAGCCCTTTCCCGGCAGGCGCGACCGGCAAACTGGCCGAACGGCACTTCGCCAGCACGGCGCACCACTGTGTCTCGTGAAGGACGACGAGACGACCATGGCAGCGATTCTCATCCTGCCCATCGAGCACTTCCGGGACTTCCCTTGTGCCCTCACGAGGTCAGAGGACAGACTCTGCTAAGCAGCGGGTGTGCGGCTCTTCAAAACCTCACACCTTCCTTAGCCTCCAGGGATTCCCACCAACTATTTGGGCTCTGCCAGCCTCAGAGGTTTCAGGCGACTCCACCGTGTACGGTGGCCCCAACAGGAGAAAGAGAGCTGCAACCCCACCATGCCTCCCGACCCTCCCCAAACACCAGCAGAACCCAAGTTCCTCAGTTCCTTTAGCTGCATCTCCACCAACCAACAAATCCTCACCTAGCAGGCGAGAGCAAGCATCACCGAGTAAGAACACGTGTGCCGGGCTGGGAATCGTGCATACAACACAGCCACGTCGAACTCGAAAGCACCAAGTCAGAGTCTCACTGACACCACAGAAATGCCACAATCCAGCAAAGATTCATCAGCACAGACCTGACAGAGCTGTCACAAAATCATCGTGCTGAGACGATGTGCATCCAGTGACGTGCCAGCTGACAACAGGAGAAACTGTCAAGTCCCTGGGGAGGCTGGCAACCTGCACATGGGGCGAGGCAGTGGCAGAAACTGGGCAAACCTAGCTGTGGTCCCCTCCACACTCATGGGCTGGAGCCAG